GCTGCTGCGCTCTCAGTGCAGCATAGTGGGGGCCTCGCGCCGCCCGGCCAGGATGGTGCCGGATATCAGCGATTAGCGGTGCTCTTCAAGGACGGCCAGTGTGGCTCTGAAACCCCCCTCCCAGCAGCCTGTGCGGTACGCATGACTGCCCCCCCCCTCCCGGTAATAAATGTGACCCCTGTCCGTGTGCTGACATGCAATCTGCCTATTTTTAGTGCTGTGCCGATGTGGCTGTTTTGGCGAGTGTGTGTGTGTGTGTGTGTGTGTGTTTGTGGGGGGGGCATTCCTTTTCTGAGCCTGCATTAACACCCCCCCGCCCTGCCCAGCGGGCACCCGTGAGGATGTCTGTGTTTCCTGCATTTCTGCTGACCTGCTGCCCTAGCACAGCTCGGATTAGCAGCTGCATCGTTGCATTGGAGTTCACATGTTCTCCCCGTGTTGGACTGGTTTCCTCCCACAGTCCAAACACCTGCAGTTCAGCTAACTGGTGTCTGTAAATTGCCCACAGTGCATGTGCGCGTGTGGTGGACTGGCATCTAGCCCCGACTGTACCCCAGCCCTGTGCCCTGTGCCCTGTGCCCTGTGCGGCAGGACGCCCGCACCCTTGACCAGGATAAGCGGTTAGAAGATGAATGAATGGACCATCTTTGCGAGCGCGGCAGTCTGCTCCCTGCGCTTCACGGGAAATCCGTCATCGGAAACTGCCGTCGGCCTTGGATGGTTTATCTGCTCGATTCGGAGCATCTGCGGCTGGCGGCAGCGTCGTATATTCAGCCCTGCTTTATGTTTTATTCATGGAACAGCGCAATTGATCCCGTTCAGTGTGGAGCCGGCAAGGCCCGGCTCACTGAGATCTGGCCCTGAGCTGGAGGATCAGCCCGGGTCTTTGCGGCTCGGTCGTTAGGACCCTGGGCGGCCCGATTTGGCGAGATTTGGCCAGGAGCTAAAGGATGAGGCCGGTTCTATTTGTCTCGGTCGGTTTGGACCTCAGGTGGCCTGGTTCCATATCTTTTTTTTTTACGAAGGAGTAAACTTCCTCAAACCTTCTGTCCAATCTGCTCGTTGAAATCTGCAAAAATTTCATCCCCCCGGCGAAACAAGTCATGCCGCTGTACCACCCACCCCCCTGCCCACCGCGCGAAAAGCCCAAGATTAGAGCAGAGTGGCCCCGTGGCGGGAGAGGGGGGTGGGGGCTTCTGACAGTTCGATGCGGCGGTAAACAAAACAGGCACGTCCTATCCGTCATCCCAGCTCGACTCCAGGCTGCGGGAAGAAAAGACAAACGGCCTGTCTTTGCCTGCGTCCAGCTGCGGTGGAGCGGGGGGGCGACCCGCCTCCTCGGGAACAAAAACAAAGGGCATCAGAGAGGCCCCGTGTGACCGGCCGCGGCGTGGCACGCGGCACAATGCGGCCCATTGTGACACGGCCTCAAGGAGACTCTCCTGAAAGGGCCTGATTGTTCGGCCCGGTCCGGCCCGTCAGCCCGCGCGCGAACAAATGAAAGGGAAGCGCTGGCAGTGCGGTCGGCCTGAACTGGCCGTACCGGAGGCGTCCACGTGCTGAACCTCTCTCAGCTAATAACGGGGCCCTTTGATGAGGGAGCCTCCCCCCGCAGAGGCGTGATTCGAGGAAGGGCTGTTTGCTGTAAAACCACTGCCCCCTGAGGTACGGCAGATTTGCGGAGAGGAAGCAGCATCCATTATTGATGGGGAGGGAAAACGTTTACGGCGGCAGGCAGGCAGGCCGGGAGCAAGCGCGCTTAGAAGCAGCTGAGCGGATCAGGAACGCTCGTGGCCTTTGGCAGGGCGGGAGGCTGGGGAGTGGGGGGAGATTAACACTTGGGGGGTGGGGGGATAGGCAGCCTCGGAAAGCTTGCGCCCGCGCGCTGGGGGCTTCTGGCCGCTGTAGCGGTATGTTCCGATGGGAGGGGGCAGCGGAGGTCGTCGCGGCTGACGTGCGCCGGGCCCGGCGTCCCCGAGAAGATGTCACACTAATCTCCCGGCTTAAGCGAGCCCCGCGGGATGGGGTCGCACCAGCGTGGCATCACCAGGCGCAGCCGGGGGGGCGATGTCAGCCACCGAGGCTATTCCCAATGCCGCTGCTCGCTCTCGCGGCATGTGGTGTGGGGGGGGGAATGCTACTGCTGGCCAGGAAACTGGAGCCGGCCGGCCAACAATCAACAGCTTGCCGCGTCCCGGCAGGCTTGCGGGGTGGAGATGTGAGAAGCCGGCCGCACCATGGCAACGGGGCAGCCTCAATTAGAGGGAGGGGGGCATTTCCCTTTTTGTAGTGGCAGGGTGAGATCGGTGCGGCTGGGAGAGCGAGCGTGTGGGCAGGCAGAGGCTTGGCGGTGATGAAAAATGAATGAGCCATCGGGGATCCGCACGCGCCGCTTGCTGTTCCTGGCCGCGCTGCCGGGGACTCAGAGCCGGCCGTGGAGGTTAAGCTGCGGCGAGCGGGGGGGGGGGGGGGGAGGGGGGAGGGTGTCAGGTAGCCGCTGCAGGAGGGGGCGGTGGCGGCGTTACCTGATCCGTGTTTCCACGTCAGAGCTTCTCACACGCACCGAAGATCCGCCAGGCTACGGACAAGGGGGTCCTGCTTCTGGTCCCCCCCCCCAGGCTGATGTTTAGCCGCTTCCCTCCTGCCCCCCCATTTCCTCTGTCTGCTGATCTTTACTGATTATCACTGTGGTTTGCACACAGCGCAGTTTCCCTGGTACACAGCCTGGTCTGTAACCTCTCCTGTCCTTCCTTTGCACTCGTCACGGTGTGGGGGGGAAGCCAGCCTCAATCCCCCGTTTCAGGATGATGGCTGTGAAACCTTCAGTCATCGCTTTGCCCCCCCTCACTCCCCCCGCCAAGCATATGTCCTTCTGAGATGCAACCCAGGCACCGGACGCTCCTAACAGCTGGGGGCTCTGATCCCTGACGCTCGTTACGGCTCCTCTGTTATTCCGCCTGGCTGGTAACCGGGGGCCCCTTCAGGGGGAGACCGGAGGGCGGGGCGGGGGGCTCTCCGCATGATGTTAATCGCCTCATGCAAATAGATGCAGATGCACCTTAAATTACCGGCAGTGATGTTTTTAGCAAGTAATTTGGGGTGTGGGGGGGTGCTTTTTCACACCTTTATTTCAGGTGCCGTCTCAGAAGAGCTTTTCCCTGCTCCATAAACATGGAGGCTTAGCGCCAGTCCAGGAGGAAAGCGAAGACTCCTGGCACTTTGCAGTAATTCACACCTCCCTCTCTCCCTGCCACACTCTCCCTGTTTTTCCCCAGCCTCCTACTCCCTCTATCCAGGAGCAGACGTACTCGTTCGCCAGTGCCGCTTGGCCTGAAGAGCTGTCGTTCTCAGCTCGCTATAAGATACAGCCGCCCACCTATGGCGGTTCTGAGGCTCCGCCCCCTCTGGCTATGAGGCTCCGCCTCCTCACCCATAACATCCAGTCTTTGATGGCCTCCTCTCTGCCTGTGCTCTGTACACACAGGGCAGCAGAGTAGCGTTAAGGACGCCGCCCCCCACATCTGAAGGTCGTACCGCAGTACCCGGTGGTTCAAGTGCCCTCGAGCAAAGTACTTAACCCAAGTCTCTGTGGTAAAACACCCAGCTGAGCTGATGCTTTGCTAAGCAGCTATATGTAACTGCATTCTGCGCTACCCTTGCTGACCCTCCACTGACCCCGAAGCAAAACTCCGCCCTCGGTCCATCCTGATTGGACGCCCTTGTTGGTGTGTTGCCAGGCAGCGATCTTTATCCTGACGCCCCCAACTCCCACCTTCCGCTACAGTTTGTATGCAAGCATGAAAATCCATCGGGTCATTTATTTTCATTAAGCAGATGCCTTTATTCAAAGTGACATACATTTTTGAGAAAGCGTGGTCGGTCAGTCCCCGGAGAAATTTAGGGCTAAAGGGTTCAATGGTGAAATCAACCCTGGGAATCCTAACCCTCTGAGCCCTTTGCACGTCATGCTGGTGAAACAACTTTCCGTTTCTTCCCGGGAATAAAGGCGCTGGAGAGAAGGTTCCGGAGCTCGGCGGTGTGGAGCAGCGGATGGACGTCCCGTGGGTGTGCAGGTCTGACGCCCTCACTTCTGTCTGCAGTCTGTCGAGGGACCAGCGAATCCCCGGAGATGCTCCTTCACCACTGATGTCGGGCAGGATGATGGACAGGATGCTTATTTTTCCCACTTCCAGTCAGGCCGCCCCTTCGCTTTTGTATGGACGCAGAGCTGAGCTGCGTGTCCAGCACCCTCGCTGAGGAATCCCCGGCTCGCCCTCGGCACAGCTGGCCTGAGCTAACGGCACGGGGGCGGCCAAGGCCGAGTGATGCAACGCCATCTTGGCACACCGTGCTCTGGGCCACGACCTTCTTTGATCAGCAAAGCCAGGGTCGTGGCAAGGCCGGTGCTGACAGGCAGACGTCTGAGCCCCGGCGGACGGGGGGAAATTTATTATTAAAGCTGCATTTCATCTGTCCTGCGCTGTTTTTCTTTTCCCTACCCTCCCCCCCTTTCCGTTCTCGCTGCCTCACACTTCCCCGGCCACATCTGCAAGCGATTGTATCGTAGCAGGAATTATATTAGAGATGGCTGGAAGTGCTCTGTCTCCCTTTGGTCTCCGACACTGCTGCACCCGCGGCGGTCGATGGCTCACACGCACACACATGCGCGGCACACGAATGTACGCATGCACAGCACATGTACACAAATGCATGGCACCTACACAGGCCAGTATGGCACATGCACAACACGCACGGCTGTGGGAATATGTGCGTCACACACACATGCAACACATGCCTGCAGATTCATGCAAATTACCCGCACACGGCTTCAGAAATGTGCAGGTTCAGGTCTTGTATGAATTCATACATGCATACAAAGCAACCGTATGTGAATCACCCGCGTGCACATATACACGCACAGCTCAGCACGTGCACACATGAATATGCATGCCCGGGTTCCATGCTAAGCCCAGATAGGCAGCACATTACAGTGCAGTGTGCTGCACTGATGTTGAGAATAAGAATTCTGGAGATTGCAGTTGTGTACAGAGACAAACAGAGAACAAACAGAGGTGCATGTGAATCCTACCTTCTTAATATACGCTTACTCAACCCTGGTGTTTATCTTGCATCCATGGCAACCACTCATTCCATTCATGTTTATCCCGACTCCACAACTTCTCAACTCAACCCTGCTGTTCATCCCATCCCTACAGGCACCACCCACTCAACCCCAGTATTTATCCCAATTCCACCAGGCCCATTAATCCAACCCCCAGTGTTTACCCTGACTACAATGTAAAGTCGCTCAACCCCAGAGTTTATCCCGATTCTGCAGGGACCGTTTACTCAAACCCCGAGTTAATCCAGATTCTACAATGACAACTAACTCAACCCCCATGTTTATCCTGATTATACAGGGACAAATACTCAACCCTGTGTTTATCCTGATTATACAGTGACAGATAACTCAATTCCAATGCTTATCCTGATTGAACAGGGATAAATAACTCAACTTCAGTGTTTATCCTGATTATACAGTGACAAATAACCCAACCCTGTGTTTATCCCAATTATACAGGGATGAATAACTCAACCCCAGCCCTTATCATAATTAAATAGGGACAAATAACTCAACCCCAGTGTTTGTCCTGATTATACAGGGACAAATAACCCAACCCCGTGTTTATACTGATTACACAGTGATAAATAACTCAAAGCTAAAGTGTAAAGTCACTCAACCCCAGCTGATGATCATCACAAAACTCTGCACACACCAACAATATCAAAATCTGAATCGAATCAAAACCATGTCAGATAAGTACAAAAGGCATGCATCTGACTTTAATCGTTCATGGTCGTCTCCCTCCAGTAAAAACACATGAATCAATTTGTGTAAATGGAACGAGGAAGAGAAAAGACATAAACATTGAACTGTTACATGTGCTTGGAAGAAAATCTTCTGGTCAGTCAGTCCGTTCACAGCACAACAGCACTTTTCATTCACATGTAAGTGTATTATTGGTGAATGGAGCAAGTGCACTGAAATGAATCTAGGAAATACTGGTATTGTCATTAAAAGAGCGACTGGTGCATTTTAAGGGGAAATCCATTAGACAACAATATTTACTTACTGGTCAATAAGAGGCAAGAATACTTACACAGAGGGAAAAAAATCACATGATGGGCGTGCAAAAGATGGCCCTAAAGTGGAAGAAACACACTAAATACGTTAAGAAAAATTTTTTTAATGCTCGATAAATTTCCCAGGTAGCGGCTGATGAAATAGAAGCTTTTCTCGTTTCTCAGCGGCAAAGCTTTCCTGGAGGAAGCGTCCGCCACGTGTCTCACACGGATAAGCGGGCGGCCACAGCCGGCGTGATGAATATTTAACGGTGGGTAGCAGCGCGGCCACTGCCATTTTTAAATGCCAGCGGCCAGGGAGATGAAAAGGCCAGTGGAGAGCAGCGCCGGAGAGGGGCTGACGGGCACGGCGCCGGATTACGCACGGGCAGCGCTCTGCCAAATGGGCCGAACCCGGCGCCAGCACAGGGGCGCTAAATTTAGCAGTCGATGCATCCATTAGCGAGCGGCCGCTGGTGATGAGAGGTGCGCTGGGCCGGTCGCTCTTCAGTTCTCGCACATCGTTTAACTGCGGCGATTGCAGGATCAGAGCGGCACCAGCAACACAGCAGACACACGGCGATACACCACAGGGGCATAA